ACATGGACAAACAGGTTAGTCACGTGCAAAAGAGGGCCATCGCCTAACAATAGGCTTAATTAGCTCTATTTAGTCACATCCAAAAGAGGGCTTAAGTTTTAAACGTTTCTGTTTGAGGTCGCGTTAACGGAAAATTTTCCTTATTTGACTGTTTTTTGTTTTTTTTACTCGGTGACGGAAAAATCTGAAGGCCGTCCGTCATTTCGACAGCTTGCAGTTGACACCCCTGACCTCTAAAGTCTGGAAGACTTGATAAATCAGCCAGGAGAGGCGGAAAAGAAAATTCAACGAGGCTTCACAAGGCAAACTCTGTGGCATCACACTCACACATGGAGACATTTTCAGCTTTAAGTCTATCACGGAGTTGTCTTATTTAATCTAAAATAAATAAAAGATTTCCATCTAATCATCATCTCAGATCTAGACCCCATAGTGAATGCATCTCCAGGAGCTGACAGTGCATTGAGGACAGGAGGCTTTGGAGCCTCTGTGAGGTGCAGCTGAACCGGTGGCGCAGCGGGCACGCATGCTGTGGCATTTCCTCCTGCTAAAGCAACAGCTTGTAGGATTCGGAAATAAAGTCTTGCTGACTTCTGATCAGTTTGACTGGAGCAATGTTTTCTGATTTTAAAACTTTGGCTGAAGTGGTGCTTGTTATTCCAACAGTGTCGCAGCAGAGTGCGGGTTCTTGAGATTTTCCTTTTAGAGTAAAAAAAAAACATTTTATAATTATTAGACTTTTTATTGCATAAATCAAACCCATACTCTTTCTGTTTTTATTTAATAATAAACATGGTGGCAGCGGTGCGTTACGACTGACTGCATCTGCCTCTTCTCTCGTTCTCCTGYGAAGGAGGCAGAGACAGAAATGAGGCATTGTCTAATGTTGCAAACTGCAGCCACTAAATAGCTTTTTATTATTTTCTTTCTTTTCTTTTGACTTTTCGTAAGGTAACTGAGTCAAAAGTGAGACGTGTGTGTGTGTGTCACATTGTGCACGGTGTGGGACAGANTCCAGAATTCTGGGTTGTATGACAATTATTTCATATCACAGATCATCTTATTTAACACTTGGGTTTTCATCTGATTTCAGCCGATATTAAACACGTWTTTCTTACACATTAATGGTCAAAATATGACAAGTTAAAAATATTGAGACCGGAAAAAAAATCTAATGGGGCCTTATCTGGTCTGCAGGCCTTCAGTTTGATGTAAAAAAAAAAAGGCTGGTTGTGACTAACATGGCTATAAATTCCCAATAATTCAAATAGAACCATCTCTATTTTAATTCAGTATCATTAATGAAGTCAACAAAGTAAAACCTGCCATTAAAAATGTCCTGTTGATGTAAAACAGAAAAGATTTAGTGTAGGCATAATTTAAATGCCAACAAATTGCAGTCCTGACCCTAAAACTTAGACATAAGTTGAACTATCATCCTGAAGTTATAAGACACACAAGAAAGAAACGTATTATGCACCAAAAATGATTCTTGAAGGAATAAGTGCTCGGTGGCAAGAGGGCTTTAAAGTCCCTGCGGGCTCACTTTAGGAACATTAGAGTTTGATGGGTTTTCCTCATTGAGTTAAGAGCACTTGTTCCTGTTCAAACTGCGTGAAAAGGGAAGGATCGCTTTGACAGATGACTTACAGAGACTCCGTGCTGGCTGGAAACCTCGGGAGAGTATCGATGTCAACACAGGAGATGGTGCGAGTCCTCCTCCACTCGGAGCAGTCGCACACGGCCGGGCAGGAGTCAGGAGACTCAGCGCCCCCGCTGCTGCTGCCGCTGCTGCTGCTGATGGGGAGAGAGGCGAGCGTCAGCAGGGCGCATGTTATCACCTGCATGCTGTCAGTGTCCTCCCCCGGCCTGATGTTCAAATACAACAGCAGGTCGATCCGTGTGCGTGAAGAGGCGCTGCTGTTTGTTGTGAAATCCTCAGGTGAGAGCTGCTGCTGCTGCGGCGGAGGAGGAGGAGGACTCTGCAGGGGCCCGGGGGGCTTCACAGGCTGAGGGTGGGGATGTGTTCAAGGCGGACAGCTGCAGCTTCTGAGGCGGGTTTGGAGGTGGTCTCCAACTTGAGGAGAGGGTGGACTTGCAAGTGTGGGGAAAAAAAGTTGCACTGTAACGTCTTCCTCTATTTTTAATTGTGAACTAAACCGACACTTTTATTTTAAATGTGCACTATTTCTAAAAGTATTCTTGAAATATTTTAGAGTGGCGTACAAATAACAAATTTGCAATGCAACATATGCAAACAGTAGCTATTTCTCAAATGCATAAGAAATATAAATAACATACAAATATAATAATAAAAATAATTTTTATATATTAGGGGAACAAC